CCCTGTTCCTGCCCGAAGCTGTGAGGGGAGGGAGCGTGAAATGAAGGGATCTGATATGGTGACAGTGCCGAGCATCGCACTCCGTGTCCCCTTGCCCACAGGCACGGGCCCTTTGCGTGGCTGCAGTGGGGAGCTGGGACGGCAGCGTCACTGCAGGGCCAGCCCCCAGACAGTGCTGGCAGAGAGGAGACAGAGGCAGAAACCTGGCCTTGGGGAGCAAAGGGCAGCTTTAACCAGCGAGGAGACACGGCACTTTTATCTTTGTGCTTTTACAGGCCGCGTCGTCTGGCGGGATCCTCCGCGGCCGCTGTGCTCATTGATCCCAGGTTTCTCTTGCTCACCCAGCCCCTGCAGCTGCCATTGCTGATCTTATACACAGCGTGAGGCAACCTACAGACGTAAGGGAGTTTTGTCTCCCCTCCTTCGCGTTCCCCGTAGGACTTGGCGGCCAGGCGCTGACAGTGCAAGAGGGTGACAAGAGCAGACGTGCACCGAGGCGGCTGCGGTGCCACTACAGCGGGACTGGCCCATCGGGGCTGCTGGGAAGCGAGGCCTGGTGTACCCGGAGAAGGGCAGGATGCCGCGGCTTCACCGGGGCAGCAGGAGCCAGTGCACAAGGCTGCACATGAGGACCCTGAAATGTTCACCTAGGTCCCAAAAATGAAAGTCCATCGGTGTGCTGCTGATTTACCTTCCCAGTGGGGAGAGCTAGCCAGGCAGCACTGCGGTGCTGCCTCTCCTCTGCCTCCTGGGAGCTTAATTCGGGAAACTCATGCAGAGAGATGCTCTGTGCAGAGCAGAGCAATCCCTGCCCACTGCTGGCTCCGGCTCTCCAGCCGCTTCGGGCGGGACGTTTCTTTCTGCGTCACTGCCAGCTTCCCTGGGCATCCAGGAGAGACCACCCCTCAGCCCCTCCGCCGCAGCTGCCCCGGTGTAACACCCATCAGCTGTGCCCTGCGCCTAACTTTGCTTGCAGTAAGGTGGTTTACAGAAAGCCTTGGGCTCTGCCTTGGGCAAAGCTTCCCCAAGGCAGCAGGATTAGGCCCCGCCGCGGACGGGTCTCTGCGCAGTGCCATGCAGCAGCAGGGAAGGTCGTGCAGCCTCCCGAGGGGATTTTCTGGAGCAGCTGGGCTATTCAGGCCCTCGCAATGGCACCCTCACAGCGGGGACGGGAAGGATGCAGCCAGGAGCGTTTAGATTAGCCCCAGCAAACACATTCAGAAAATATGGCTTTTTAATTAACAGGGTCAAGAGGGAGAACTTCCCGATCGGTCTGCCCGGAGCTAAAATAAGTCCAGGGGAGCGTGCACCAAGTCGCCAGGACTGGCTCTGCCTGTCGGTGCCACCGGCTCCGGCACGGGTGCCGCCGCAGTGAGTAGAGCAGGCGCATCTCCTCCCCACCCGCTGCTTGGCCTGCGCCTGCTGCAAGGTTGCACAATTTGAGACATCGCTTTCTCAGAGACCATTAGGAAAAACAATAAGGAAAAGAGAGATTAGCAAACCCAACGCATCAAATCCATGAGCCTCTGCAGAGCTGCAGAAAGAAAGGGGGGTGCAGAGGAGAGGTGCCCGGCTGTTAGTCTGTACGCAGAAAGGTCTCAGCACGTTGTGGTTTATACACATAAGACATTGTTTAACAACCGAGCATTATTGCTATGCATCCATTTCCAGTCTAATCATTAAGCTTTACGAGTCTACATTAAACATCGCTTGTTCCATACAAAGCACATAGGTGTCAGCAGTTACACTCCTCAGTCTACGTGTGTCAGGTCTACGGCGCGGGTCAAAGCTATATGCACCCTTTGGGCTCCCAAGGAGTCCAGCAGCACTGACTACATACACCTACAGATCCCTGTTACACCCTACAGGCTAAGGGCTAACTTACAGTCCGAGACCAGGGGGTCTGTAAGAGCCCCCCGCCCAGGGAGAGGAGGGCAGGCACTGCCCGGGCTCCTGCGGCTCCCTGGGGCTCGCTGTGGCTAACAGCGGCCTACTCATTAAAAAATAGGAACGCTGTCTTTTTGTTCTTTTTTTTTGGATCATTTTGATCTCTTTGATCATTTTATATAAATACAAAGATTAAAATAATTTATCTCAACATCATTTCTATTACAATCATACAGTGTTTTCCCTTCAAATCAAGTGCATGTATATATATATATAAGTGTATATATAGTATCTCTAGAGCTTCCCTCCCCCCCAAGAAAAGCAGCAGTGACTGAAGCAGGTACAGCACGCAGGAGCTGATCCTTCCCGCTCTGAGGCAAGGGTGCCCAGGCAAAAGCGCAGGGCTCGCCCCGACAACTCATTTCCAAGCACATTACATTGGCATGAAGGGGGGAACTGGGGTTCTCCCTCTCCACCCCTTTGGGAAACAACACCCCCTCACTGTAGGCAGCTCTGCCTGCACATCCAAGGGCTGTGGGGCTCAGGACCTGCCCAGCTGCCCGCAAGCACCAGGAGGAGGGAGAAGCGATCGGGGGACTGGAAATGAGATCAACTCCTTGAGCAAGCTGCTAATTAGTGGTGAAGGGGAAGGGATCCTGCAGCTCAGACAGGGTTGCTTCATTTACATACTAGGCACTAAAAATGATGATTGCTAGGAAGGTATTTACACAGAAGAAGGATCATACCCCTCCCTCCCCTTTTCAATGCTCAGGTCAGTCATGAACACCGTGATCTTATGAAGGATTTTATAATAAAAATGCAACACACTGTTTATGAGGATTGTCTAGGAAGGCGAGAGGAAAGCCGCTGTGCACACCACAGCTAAAGGAACAGCCAAACAGCGCAGAGACATGTATTACCCTCTTTCATGTTAAAAGAGAATAGAGACGAATCCTCAGCAGAACTTCTCTGAACCTGAGAGAAACAGTGATTTCCAAAGGCCAAATGGCACGTCACCACCGGGAACCGGGTGGCTGCAATGCAGCACAAATTGCCCCTTGCTGCCCTGCTCTGCTCTGCCTCCGCAGGGGTGGGCAACAGCAAGGCCCCAAGCACCCTGGCTCTCCCCAGAGCTGGGGCGTGGGCAGAGCCCGCCTTAAATCACTTTGCAGTGGGAAACATCCCACAGCCTTACCGAGAGCCAGACTCGGGGCTTTTCTCCCTTGTGCAGCTGTACCCAGGTGCTCATACCCCAGCTGGGCGTTACCAATGCACCCCATGCTGCCCCTGCACCGCTGCCTGCCCTGGGAAGGCAGTTTGGGCACGCGATGCTTTGCAGCCAGGGCAAGTGTGCGCCCTGCCCGGGCTCTTTGCAGCCTTCTGCAGGGGGTGACAGTTGGGGAGGGCAGGCGGGAGTCAGTGGGGGCTCTGCTGGGCTCTGGTTCCTGAGGCAGTGGCTCCGGACGTGTCAGGGGCTGCAAAAATTTCCCCTTAGGGCTTTGCCTTTGCCCCCAGGAGCTGCACACCTCTGCAGGGCTTCAGCCAGGGTGACTGCTCCCTAGGCCCCTGCTAGGGGGGACCTGCCCAGGCACGGCTTTGCTGGGCTTCTTCCCAAACTCAGGGGTGCATTAGAGATCATGGTAGCAGTTGGGAAGTAGGGGGTCCCAGCCCTTGATGGTGCCCTGGCGGGAGCAGGAAGGGTCTTGCCCTCCAAAGCCTGACTTAACACCACAGCCAAAGAAAAGGTACAAAAGCTGCTAATTTCTGTCCTGCTAGTGCAGTTCATACGCTTAGGGTTTTGTTTTTACCAAAGAGCTGGCCTAGGAACTGTTACTGAGAATCTCGTAAAAGCATTTTAATATAATATATAAATATTGAACTACAAAAATAGACACCTCTGCATGGGCACGCTGCGGGTGAGCTCGGGCAGACTAAACTCGACTGGTCTACAAGGGTGACATTTTTGAAGAGGTTTCAAACTGAATTGGAAGGAAATGGGGTCCAATCGAGGCCCGTGGCTTCCTCCTGCCCGCGCCAGCCGCGGAGGCAGCGGGGGTTCTGCGGGAGGCGACCAGGCAAGGCTCTGGCTGCGGGCAAGAGCCGGGGCTCCCGGCTGGGCATCACCTACCCAGCACACCTGCGCGGCTGGGCCAGCCAGTGCTGGCAGCCAAACCACCAGGGCGAAACCTGCCCCTCGGTATTGCCCAGAGCAGCGCAGGTCCCGCTGGTGCCCAAGCAGCAAGACCTCTGCCTTGCCCGACCGCCAGAGCTGTTCTCTCCTCTCCCTGTTTCTGCTGTTTCAGAACATCCAGGGAATGGATGTATAAAGCCGCTGGTTTGGTTTGGAGACTGGGCAAGGCTGTGCCCCGGTGGGGCGAAGGCTGCGTACTGTACAGCCACCGTGCTGGGAGGGACTGGGAGGTGGTGGGGGAGGACTGGAGGGCTCTGCAGTGGCTTGGCCCCGGGGATGCAGCAAGGACATGGGTGAAGTGGCTTTTCCAGCCTCTGCTCCTGGTGGGAGGTGAGGCCGGGGCTGGTTTTG